CTTTAATTAAGAACAGTTCTTTTTGTTTTTTTGCCTGTACCATGTCCTGTTTTTGTGAACCTGTTTTGTCTGCTTCCAATTTACTCCAGTCTTGCTATTGGTTGATGTGTTCTATTTGAAGGCCACACCTATGCTTTGTTCTTAATTAAGCCCTGATGAAGACCAGTTGAGGTCGAAACATGTTGGCTTTGGCCATTCAAATAAAGGCCTTTTAATTATATTTTTCCTCGTGCGATGTGTTTACTTTTTCTACTGTTTTGGAGTGCCTGGAATCTGTTGTGTCTTGAGTCTTGATCCTTTTTTCCAAGAGCACCTCTTTGCTCCTACTGATTGGAACACCTGTAGCAAACAGCCACATTTTTGGTCTTTTTGACGATATGATATCACAATATTTCAGTTACTGTTACATCCCTATTGAACATACTGATCAAAGCAATAACATCTCCATGGAGACAACCAAGTGGGATCCCCTCCACTAGAAAAAGTATTATTTATTACTTCGTTGCGTAATAAAATGAGCAATCCATGGCTGCTGTTTAGAGTCATTTGTGGTCACCGTGAGATATCACATAAATCAGATTAGATCATTTTAGATAACAATTGTATTTTTCAGTCAGGGGCACTAAAAATACATGGAAACTAATTATAAACTTTAATTCAAACATGGAGTCTTCACAAAGGTTTAATAGTTTCATAGTGATTAGTATTTATGACATGATTTCATATGGTTGTGTAATTATGTAGATGTGTTTTGATGTGACAATGAATACAAGGGACAAAAATGTTATGTGTGTCTTGCTTGTCTTATATCCATATTTTGAGCATTAAAGCCTCGAATGCATGACAACGCAGGAAATGCACAACTCAATTTGAGCAAGTTTATAATGAGCAAACACTGTTACAACATGGTTAAAAGCTTTTACATGTCCTTTTTACGCAATATGTCTACTTTAAAGGCTGTAGTTAAAGGTGTGCAACTTTTCTGGTGGATGATCGTACTTGTCTAGCCTGATTCATCAGCCAGTTTAACTTCCTGGAAACTGTCTGACCTTGGAGCATTAGGATTCGTTCAGCTCGATTTTTTTTACTTAACCAGTTACTTACCAGTACTTAACTCTTTGTTCAGGCTTTAAATCCTCAGTCTCGGCAGTCATTGCCAACACAGAATGTATGGCTCTTCGCGGACTGTTTGGTGCCCAAACTCCCACTTCCGAGGGTTTTACAAACTGTCTAGTGTTTTTGCTGGAGATAAATTAAATTGAGTGGAGGCACTAGGTGGCGCCAGCCTGGCTAGTACTTGTTTGTCTCCATGGAAAGGAATGTTCCAGGATATGATTTTAAACATTTATGGGTGTTTCTGATGCTCAAAAACACAATAATTCCTTCTGTGAATAGGGGAGACTCTACACATTTCTGAAAAGTAATGTAGTGTAGAGTAGCGTTGTGTCTTTTGTGATTTAATAGGTTTAATGTGATTTAATGTCTTGTGTGGATTAATAGGTTTCATCTATACTATGGAACATTCTAGACAAAGCAATAACATATCCATGGAGACAAGCAGGTTGCAGATCCTCCACTAGAAATGTTACGTAGTGCACCTTTAATTTATGACTAATAATGTGTTCTATTTTGAATAACTTCTCATCAGTGATCTTGTTTTCTCTGGATTAAACTTGTGCTTTGTCACTGCTATTGACTGAGCGGTACTGAGTGTTCATATTATTCTGACCTTGAGCTTGGAACAGCAGCCCTCACGTGGAGTTTTAGCTGCCACACTCATGATGACAGTGCGTCAAGACCAGAGAAGAAGAACAAAACAGGACCTGCCATGCACACAAACATCAGGGAATACAATATAATCACAATCTGTTTTACTCACTTTGCACAGTGTAAATGTGTAAAACTGATTTCATTAAGGGGTGGATATAAGAATACGCCTTTTTCAGTTTCTGTCACACGTCACACTCAGAAAAAAAATATTAAAAATGCAAAAAATGATAGTATAGTGCAAAATATATTTAAGAAGAATTATAAACAAATAAAGAATAAAAGGAAGAAAGAAATTTAATTTGGACAATTCAAAACTTAAAGGAACAGTATCAATATATTTAACTAATAATGTCAACTAGTACAGTTTCGATCACTCAAAACAGTATAGAAAAACAGTAAGATTTAGTGACCAGTCTGAACTCAAGCCCAGATATCTCAGAGGTCAGGGGCAAATGCTCACCCACTAAACCATTTAATTCATGTCACTGAAAACTGTTACAAGATTTAAAAAATAAATAGTAAGGATAACTATTTCACAACAATATCAACACAACATACTCTATACTGTTTATTGTGTTAAAAAAAAAAGTGGTGGCTTTAATTTTAAACATTGCATTTTAAAAGGTGCATTGTGTAACTTTTCAGATGGAAATTTAAATGCTTTTCTCTATGGAGATGCTATTGCTTTATCTCAGACACGTCAAACTCAGGCCCGGGGGCCAAATTTGGCCCGCAATATAATTATATTTGGTCCACGAGATCATATCAAACAGGTATTAGAGCTGCCCGCTGGCTACACATAGACTATAGAGACATTATTTATTTAAAATTTTGTTATTATTTTATATTTTGGTTGTTCTGGATTCAATGTTTAAGCAAAACTATTATTAAACATTTATTTTAATAAGAAAAGTTTTAACATTACAAATATTACATATCTCATCGAAGATAAAACATGCAAATAGCAAATTAGTCCCAGTTTTTAATTTTGGCTTTCTGTGAATTTGAGTTTGACACCGTTGCTTTATCTGGAATGTTCCACAGTATGGCATTAAACTTTCTACCTTCATGGAGACCAAACCAGACCAAGGTACAGGTCAGATCTGTGGAGAGGCAACCCCGCTCACTGTCAGAATGTCTGTTTTTCTAGTTTTTTTTAAAAAGCTGTAAAACCAACTGTAATTGAATAAATGTAAAGTAGAGCTGTTTAATGCCATACTGTGGAACATTTCAGGCAGAGCAGTGACCTCTCCATAGAAACAAACAGGTGAAAAATAAAAAGTTACATAGTGCACCTTTAAGTTTTTGCATAAATGTTGAATGCGCTGAAGCTGTACTCACCTGAGAAGCGGCAGTGGTCCTGGAGGAGGTGATGGGTGAAGGTTCCTTCTACGCACCAGGACTTTGGGCTCAAGCATAGATCTTATCACAAACAAACTACAGGCTGTAATCAGTAACTCGCTCTCCTTTTCTCTCTCATGTGAGCCTGTTGATCGCGTCAGCACCAAACTTTCCAAATTACACAAAAATACACGTGACTCGGGTCCAGCATTATGCAAAGGTAGAAATACGGGTTCAAAGAGGTTTAGAGAGGACCTGTGCGTCCTCTGCCGGTAGACGTCTTAGGGCTTTTGAACGCACCACAAACAAACTCTGGACACAGGGACTTTTGGGGGCTGTTGATTCTGAGGGGTTTTCAAAGAGGTGTGTGTTTTGCCCCTCTCGTGTCAAACTGCTTTTATAACCCTGGGTGTTTCCTAGTTCTGATCAAAGTCTTCCTGTCCCATTGATCGTCGCTAACAATGACGTTCCCCTGGTTTCTCCAGAATGTGCAGTTAAAGCCCGTGACTGGGAAAAGTCTTCAGCCCGACTCGAAATACTGATGAGATTAAGAAGAAATACAATGAGACACTCTCCTTAATGGAGGGTCATAATTACAGCTAATATAATTATGAAAGTACTGCAAAACTAATGACAGTACTGCAAACTAATGACAGTACTGCAAAACTAATGACAGTACTGCAAAACTAATGACAGTACTGCAATACTAATGACAGTACTGCAATACTAATGACAGTACTGCAAAACTAATGACAGTACTGCAAAACTAATGACAGTACTGCAAAACTAATGACAGTACTGCAAAACTAATGACAGTACTGCAAAACTAATGACAGTACTGCAAAACTAATGACAGTACTGCAATACTAATGACAGTACTGCAATACTAATGGCAGTACTGCAATACTAATTATGACAATAGTGCAATACGAATTATGATAATACTGCAATACTACAATAATTAGCAATACTATACTAGAATACTACAATACTACAATACTGCAATACTAATTATGGCAATACTTCAAAAATAAATATGACAGTATTGCAATACTAAATATGACAGTATTGCAATACTAAATTTGACAGTACTGCATAACTAAATATGACAATACTGCAATGCTAATTATGACAGTACTGCAATACTAAATATGACAATACTGGAATACTACAATAATTAGTAATACTACACTACAATACTGCATTACTTGAATAATATGCAATATTAATTATGACAATACTACAGTACCACAATAATTAGCAATACTACAATACCACAATAATATCAAATGCTAATTGTGACAATACTGCAATATTACATTACTGCAAACTATAGTACAATACTGCATTACTAGAATAATATGCAATACTATACTACAATACTACAATATTGCAATACTAACATGAGTTCTGCAAATAGACACAAAACACCGAAGTATTTTCACTGATAAGAATTTAATTACTGTTAATGATGAGATTAAAGCATCTTAAACATATTTATCCTTAAAAGCTTTTCACAGATAAGAATTTAACAGTTTTAACAGAGATCTCCTCATAAGATTAATTGGCTTTAGATAATTTCAAAATCTGATCTGAAAAATTTGAAAAAACAACAAAAAAAACAACAACAAAAATATATATATTTCACAATAAAGCTAGTAAACAGTTTTAAATGTTTGTTCAGAAGAGCCGAATACTTGTAAACAAAATATGTAACTGTATTTCTGTTTTTATTTTTACTTTACTTGTACATATACATTTATATAATTATACCTTATTTGACACCAGTCTCTTGCGATTTTTTAAATTTCTATTCATTTATATGTTTTTTCATTTTTATAGTTTTTAGTACTCTTTGTAAAATGTAAAATAATTAGCGATGTGTGAGCTACTGTGCAATTTCCCTTGTGGATCAATAAAGTTTGCTAAATCTACGTAAGTCTAAGTCTAAATCTACATTTTTACGGTCTGGTTTACATAATCCCATATTCCTCACTATTCCTATTTCTTAAAAGATGAAACATACTTTTATTAAATTAAAAGTGTACATGATGCGCACTGTATTTGAGGTTAGGGCAGAGCGGTAGTGACGAGGCTCTCCGCGCAGTCGGAGCAGTCACACCGGGTGACGTGGGAGTAGGTGTAGTTGCGGTCGGTCTGGTCCGAGCAGCGGAGGGTCACAGCTCGAGGCTCTGAGCGCGTCTCTTTACAACAACGTCTGCTCTGCTCCACATTCAGATGATCTCCATACAGCACCATCCTGCAGCAGAGAGACATCACTCACTCCTGCACTGTACACACTCAGGTCATAGAGGTCGTCTTACATATAACTGTGGATTTATTTATTTGAGTGCTGGCAGTGACTACTTGCACACATACATTTATATAAGTATGCCTTATTTGACTCCAGTCTCTTGCTATGTCTGCTGCTTATTTAGAATTCATTATTATTACCATCCATTTTTTTTACGCTTTGTTATTATATTTATTGTTGATGTGTGAGCTACTGTGTCTAAATAATTGCCCTTGTGGATCAATAATTGGTATGAATGTGAGAATGTATTTATATTTATCAATTTTTATTGCTATAGATTTGCTCTGTCAAAGTTGTTGTATTTTGTACAATGACAATAAATCTAAATCTAATCTAATCTAATAAAGTTCGTCTAAATCTAATGGAGGGTCCACCAAATGCTTGTCACCATGGAGATGTTATTCCCTTTGCCTGGAATGTTCCATGATATAGAGCAGAATCCCAGAACGCTTTGCAAATGCGTTGGCACATTTTGATTGGTTGTTGGCTTGTGACAAAAAAAAAAAAATATATATATATATATATACATTTAACAGGAGTTCAAAAGCTACAGATAAGCTATAGAGACTTGATTTATTTAAAATGTTATTATTTTATATTATGCTCATTCTGGATTCAATGTTTAAGCAAAACTATTATTAAACATTTATTTTAATAAGAAAAGTTTTAACATTACATATCTCCAAAGAAGAGAAAACATGCAGATGGTGTTGAAATTTAGTTTGGCCCACGACTTAGTCCCAGTTTTTAATTTGACCCTCTGTGAATTTGAGTTTGAGTTACAAGTTACAGGTCAGATCTGTGGAGAGGCAACCTCGCTCACAGTAAGAATACGTGTTTAGCAGATATTTGTCTAACAATACAAACACCTGTGACTGAATATATACAAAAGAGACTAATCAAATTCCACTGAGGAATAGTCAAGGCAAAGCAATAAAATCTACATGGAGACAAGCAGGTGACGGACCCTCCACCTGAAAAGTCACGTATTGCATCTTTAAAAATGGTTTAACCCAATGTTATGAACTGGAGACTGATCACATGATAAGTAAATTGCCTGTGCCATTTATATTCCCATACCCATTTTCAAATCATTTGTTTAGAATTGTTTCCCATTTAATTTGCACAAATAATGATTCTGATGACCTGATCCTGTGATTAGGCAAAGTTCTGGGGACCCCTTACAAAACCCAAAGCACTATGCCCCCATGCTCATATAAAACAGAGTGCAGTATTCATTGTTTTGAATAATATTTTTATATGTTCCTCTCTCACCTGTGCCCGCTGGAGCAGAGGCCGTCACACACAGGGACCTGGAGCTCAGAGAAACACTCCTCTGCATAAACCATCAGAGAGGTCATCACAGGAGCACAGCTACAAACACCTGCAAAATATCATTCGAACATTTTGTCACTGTCTATACTGCCCCCAGGTGGGCACTCTCTGCAAGTGCACCTCGGGAAGTACAATGCAACAAGTTGACAAAACACAATACGAGCTAAATATTAGCTAAGATACTGGTAACTCACACGTGAACAACAAAAGCTGTATTCAAGTCTTAGAATTGGTGGCTTAAAAGATACTCAACATTGTTTCTGTTGAACTAAATTCAGCATGAATCTGTATCAAAATCACAAAATTTGAAGCTTTATTACTTTATTATCTTAAACTCTGCGAAAAATACTTTTACTTAAGTAGATTTTTTCATGTGATACTAGTATTTTTTTTCCAGTATCTGTACTTTTACTTAGTACTTCTTCTACCACTGACAAGAAAGTTACTCAATTATAAATAAATAAAAAAACAAAAAACAACAAAAATATTAAATAAGGCCCTCAATCAGGTATTTTCAAAGGATTGGCCACAAAAATGAGAAAGAGCAGCCAAAAAGTTTACTCCAGCAATAGTAATTTTACAGTCTGAAAAACTGAAGTAAATGTAATTGAGGGTTACCCACTTCTGCATGTGAAACAGCAGTGATGATCATCCCAAATCTTGTCCTCCTGAAAAGAAAACATTGTTTCATTCACATGTTTAACTCACAAACCCTGTATCCGTATCCATACAGCTTCACAGGAATTATTTGGATAATTTCAGGCCTGAAATTTTCAACCTATACTAAACAAAAGTTTAAACTATCACTGCAAGACCTCAAAGGTGGAACAGGGCATTTTGAGCTTTGAAAATATAGACAGACTGATTGGGCTACTCAAACATGTGAGAATGAAAAACACACACAGAACACACAATGTATGGTTCCAGGTATGTTTTGATGAGTTCTTTATAACATGGCTTAAAGCTCAGAAGAGTCAATTTAGAGTAATGTAGGACCTTTAAAATTATACCAGATCCATCATTCACTGGTCTATTATATAAAATAGACAGACTCAGTACCTCGGGGCAGTGTTGTGGTGAACAGACTTTAGTTTCATTTTGGATGCCTTCAGGGCTGCATATGAAGGACATACACGGCTCTTCACTATCTCTCCATGTTTCTCCAACCTACAAATGCAAAATTCAGAAAAAATAAACACACTTTAAAATTATCACTTTGCTATGTTGCATATCAAAGCTTGTATTTAATAACTGCATACTTACTGTGTAATTTCTTCCTTTGTAGAAGCACTTCTTCTCAACTAAAAGAATATTAAGATATTTCAATGACATTTGTTATGAAGAAAAAGAAGTGGAGCACTTCACTGGGCCTTAAAAGAGTAAAAAATAGCAGTACAGGTGCTCTACGAGGGTTGAAAGAGTAGTCTTTAAACAGAAAGTTACCCTTACTGGAAAAAGTAAAAATGGGCAAGGTACAAACCCGAGGCACTCTGACTGAGTGCAATAAAGTCCTTTATTGCATGAAGGGACACCAACGCGTTTCGACCAGCAAGATGGTTTTCGTCAGGGCAAAGTAGTCCTGACGAAGACCATCTTGCTTTTAATATATTCAGTCAGACTGCCTCGGGTTTGCATCTTGCCCATTTTTACATTTTCCAGAAAGGGTAACTTTCTGTTTAAATGACATTTGTTAGTTAGTAGCAAACTCAAGTGGCCAATACTAAAGATTTTTATTTCTGATTCAGAAATAAAAACAAATGCAGTTTTTCCATTTTTAAAGGTTCTATATTACGCAAAATTGACTCTTGTGAGCTTGAATCCGTGTTAGAACATTGTTACCTCCTCAGAAACATGCCTGGAGTTGTGCTTTGCTTCACTCACACATGTTTGAGTAAGTCTTTATTATTAATCTGTTCAAAGTTCAAAATGCTCAATTTCATTTTGTGATGTCATCAAGTGGCATCATGATTCAAGTAAAGGTGTATGGTGTTTAAAATCACAGGTGAGCATTTCCTGTATTACCACATGACATCACAAGATGGAACAGAGTGTTTTCTATTTGAGAGAAGAACTCTGTCTAACTCAGTCTAAATATGGTGTGAATGAACAAAACTCCAGGTATGTTTTTGGTGAGGAAACAACATTATAACAGATCAGAAAATCATGTAATATAGGCCCTTTAAAGTTACTGTTCCTTGCATTTATAACATTATTCTTATTGTATTGTACTGTCAGTGTGCTTCACAGTTTCATTGTATTTGCATTTGATTTCTGCCATATCTTACCACACTCTTGAACTCCACAGCATTTCTTGACTAAGATTTGCGTTGGTCCACATGTAGGAGGCGGCGGAGGGATAGTTTTAGTGCATTTCACCTTCACAGGCTGAGGATCACTGGACACCTAAAATGGAGAGGAGTGATTATCAGTTTCAATACACAAGTTACAGGTCAGATCTTTAGCCATTAAAACTTATGTAAATGAATGACTGCAAAATAGCCATGTTCAATGTCATTTAAATTATTTAATCTTTATTTTTAAATATTAGGACCAGTGTCTGAGTTGATATTAAACCATTATAAGTTTAATTTATTTGTTTATTTAGGCTTGAAGTACAGCAATAAATACCATATTTTTAATTGAGCTGCATTGGTCAACCTTTTTTGCATGAAATGTTCCACAGCAAGGCATTTAAATTGGGTATCAAGCTTTCTTCTATTACAGAGGTTTTTTATTGCTCAAAAATACATTGAAAATATGCTTTAATTTCCTCCTTGGCTCGGTCACCTGCTTGTCTCCATGTGGATAGAAAAGTTTAATGTCAAACAAATATCAGACAAAGCAGAAATATTTCAGTGGAGACAAGCAGGCCTCCACTAGAAAAGTTACATAATCAACCATTAATAATATTAATAATATTTGTTTTATTTTATTTTATTTTTCTTTACCTCCTCTTTATTCGCAAATTAACTATTTAGAAAATCTTTCTCTCTCACCATGTCCCCTCCGGAGCTGCGGACACTATGGTCAGGTACACATGAGCAGCTGTGACAGTTGGATTGCCACACTACACCAAGCTGCAAAATGAGAAAAAAATAGTGATGATTTTTATGTATTTGAGACAGAAATAATGACTTAATATACATTGTAACATTAGCCACTGTTGAAAATCAAATCTTACTGGTTTAGGTTCCCCGAATGGTCCATGGCAAACTGAAAAGAAATATTTAGGAAACATTATTTTTTGCTTGTTTTGACATGTATTCAACAAGAGGTAAATTCACTTTTAATAAGTGATTTAATACAAAGCAAATATTTAAAGTGATAAACTATGAATCATTTGCACAATCCCCTATAATATGTAAAAAGTAATAACAGTTTTGTATAGATAAAAGGAACTAGTTTGCAGAGTGTACTCACATTTGCAGTGGTCTACACAGATATGTGAGTCTCTGTTTGCTCTGGTTTTGTTGTCTGGACAAAAACAACCTGCAATAGTATCTGTCACAGCCTCTCCTTCCTGTCTATTTCTGAAAGAAAAAAAAACAAGAGCACTGTTACAATGTAGAATTAGAATTAGTCAAGGAGGAGTCAAACTAAAGTACACATTTCTTTAAAAAAGTTAATTAATGTAAATGTAACTGGAATGAATATTACCCACTTCAAATTTCTACATTAAAGTCTGTGTAGCATAAACAATGACTAACCCTTCAAAGCAGAAATCATCCAGTTTAGGACTACATTCTTTATAAACTAGTCCATCTGAGCAGTTTGAGCCTGAAAAAGATAAGCACAGTTTAAACTTAAACCAAATATTTAGTAGGTACAAGTCAAGCAAAAGTAGAAATTCTCTTTACCACAGCTTCCTTTGGTGTGCTGTCTCCAGTCGACACAGAAACCCACTTTTTTACAGGCATCTGCAGCTTTCTCCAAAGAGGAACAGGGAGCAGCAGAGCCACAGGCGTCAAACTGACAGTTCTTAAAGAACTGCTCTAGATCCACGTGTTCACGGCACTGTGCAAAGAGCCTAAAACACAACACATATCTCAGTACAGAGATGTTGTCATCTCACATAAAGATTCTGTTTTGAGGAGAGAACACTATTTTAATTTGGTTTAAAACTCAAAAAATTCCATTTTACAGAATATGTCCCCGTTAAAGTGCATATGACAAGTTTGTGTTTGTAAGTATGACTTGGTGAAGATGTTATCGCCTATTTTTATTAGTCTACTTTTTAGTAGTCTTTTGCCCCTTGTTAACACACACCTTTGGTAACAGTTATGATATAAGCTCTTACTCAAACTAGGAAGTACGAGCACATAAGTCTTGTACTCAGGTCTCTGCACTGGCTCCTGTGGCTCAGAGAATAGACTTTAAAGCGGCTCTGTTTGTGTACAAGTCTCTCCATGGCCGAGCACCAAAGTACATCTCTGACATGTTAGTGTCATATGAACCATCTCGCACTTCTGAGGACCTCAGGGACCAGCCTCCTGCTGGTGCCTAGAGTCAGGACTAAACAAGGGGAGTCAGCGTTTCAAGTTCACTCAGCTAAAACCTGGAAAAGTCTTCCTGAACATGAGAGGCCTCTTCTTTGACGCTGTTTAAATCCAGGCTCAAAAGGGTTCTGTTCACTGTGCATATGACTGAAAGGACTCTTCGCACTCTTCTCTCTAATTTATCTAATTAATATCTCTCTCTCTTTTAATTTAATGTTAAATTTTGTGATGATTTATGTTTTGATTTGTTTTTATTGTGATTTTAATGTATTTCTTATTCTGTAAAGCACTTTGAATTACTTTGTGCTATACAAATAAACTTGCCTTGCCTTGCCTATATGTCATATCAACTAGGAAGTAATGTTGTCTTCTTCTTTAACAAAATTAAATAAACTTTGATAAAAGCAGGGATTTTTTTTTTTTTTTTGTAAAATCTTATTTAAAATATAATTATGTTAACTATTTTAGTGAAAAAGTACTGTACCTCACTAACCTGTGATAAGCACAGCACTTTTATCAAGTCTGTCTTGTTTGTGTATTTAAACTCACTGTTCGTTGAGCAGTTCACAGAGTGGATGTGAATGGGAACAGGGGGGTGTTGGAGTGGGAGCACCACAGGGGAATGTCTCTCGGAGCAGATACACACTTTGGCTTTTGGGGGTCTTCATAAATCCAGTCATAAGCTGTTTTGTCACAGCAACTGTCTTCTTCAATGTATCCCCCAGGCCGAATACAGGACTCACCTCCGCACACACCTGTGTAGAGAGTTCAGATTAAGTCATCATAAAATCATCATTATCATGCATTAGAGATATAAAGAAATGAATGATGCATTGTGGGATATGTGTTTCTAGAGTAGGATTACATTAAGCCAGGCCCGGTTCTAGCCTGCTGAATTTGGCTGAAAATATTGTATGTGGTATGTGTCTCTTCATCTCTTTATCAATCCATCTCTCTGTCTCTGTGTCACTCTCTTTTTCTGTCTCTCCGTCCGTCTCTCCCTCTCTCTCTTCATCCATAGAGCCTCCTCCTCCGTACCCACCACACTGTCCCTGTGTGTTGTAGCCAAAGTTCTCCATGGCCAGACTGATGACCAGAGAGAAAGAGGGCGTGAGGCTGACGTATGAGCGGATCTCAGGCAGGACCAGCGTCGTCACGTATCCCGTCGATTCAAACCTGAACCCAGGCTCTTCAAAAGGAACTTCTATGAACTCGCTGTTCAAAGATGCCTGGAGGACACAGTGGAAAGAGATTATATATATGTTTTAAATTAACTAATCTGGAGGTTGTGAGGACTTTTAATTGCAAGATTGCATTTATTTTACTGGGTGTCAATATGTTTAGCAACACATGACACGTCACTAACAAAAGTAAATAAATAATAGTGTCCATTAACCTAATTTTTGTAATATAATATGTTTATAATATATGTTAAGATTGTTTTGAGATGTTATTGCTTTGCCTTGAATGTTCCACAGTATGGCGATAATCATATCTAGCTCCATGGAGACAAGCCGGTGACCAGGTACATGTCTGATGAGTGGAGCGGTGACCATGTTCACAGTAAGAACATCTAGTGCCATATGTGGATCATTCTACATACACAATAAAAGCTGGTTTAAAGGTTAAAGTTAAAATGTACACTTCTGAGCTTTTAGCCTTGTTATAATGGTGTTACCTCATCAAATACATACCCGGAGTTGTGTTTTGTTTCATTCATGTTCGAGTAATCCACATCTCAAACACCCAAAATTGGGATCCACCTTGTGATGTCATGAAGTGATACTTACCTTTTAGTAAGTTTAGTAAGTTTTTTCAATTTATATAGCACTTTTCACAGGCATAAGTCACAAAGATGCTTTACAGTTCATTATTCATTCCCTCCATACTTGGTGGTGGTAAGCTACTGCTGTAGCCACAGCTGCCCTAGGGCAAACTGACTGAAGCACAGCTGCCAATCTGTGCCATCAGCCCCTCTGACCACCACCATCACTCACACATACACCACTTTCATACTAGGCAATGTGGGTGAAGTGCCTTGCCTAAGGACACAACAGCAGTTTCTGTGACTGGCGCCCCCCTGTGGCTGCTGATTTTCCCAGCGGTCTCCAATCCAAGTACTAACCAGGCCCGACCCTGCTGAGCTTCTGAAATCTGTCAAGATTGGGTTTTGACAACCTAGTATGGCTACCTTACCTTACAGTATTTTACCTTTAGTTCAGCAGAGACTGACAATCCTAGGGCTGAAATCATCCAAATGATTATAGTGAAGATGTATGGAAAAACACAGTGGATCACTTCCTTTATTACCACATGACATCACAAGGTGGAACAGAGTTTCAGTTTGAGAGAAGAGCTCAGCCTAAATATGCAGGATTTGTGTGTTAAACACGTGTGAATAAAACAAAACACAACTCATGGTGTGTTTTTGATGAGGAAACAACATAGATCAGAAAATAGCCTAATATGGGCCTTGTAAGTATCAGCTTGTTCAATATCAAAAGAAGTTTAAAGTTACACAGGTCTACAAACCAGTTGAGAATTGCAAACTCAAAAACCAAGTCAGACCTGAACTACATCTGAGTCAATGGAGAGCGTGGCCGTCTTTTCTTTATATTTGACTATCACACCCTTCACACAGGAGCCGTTCCAGGCCTTCAATACAGAAGTAGTTGTCCACAGCGATGGTGAGGTTGTACTGAGGGAACTGTTCCTCCACCAGGACATATGTGCAGTCATCAAGGAAATCAAATGTTACGCCTCCAAATGAGATGTAGTGGGGGTCTCCGTACAGCTCACAGCGGCCTATAAGAAAGAGAGGCCATGAACATAAACAAGACAGACTTTAAATCAGTCCTGTTTAATACTGAAAACAATCAAATTTATTTCTCTCAACTAAATAAAGAAAATTAAAACTAAACTAAAAAATAAACTACACTAGGCTTTTTTAAAAGCTTTTACTGACAGAGGATTGGCTGTAGATCTTTCATTTGAAAAGCATCAAGCTGATCATTAACGATTTTAAATGATTAGATCGTAGATTGTATGAATGTACAATTTCTGATTTTAAAAGGCCAAAAAAATACTCTTTCCAGTCTCTATTCATAGCTGTAGCTGAATGTAATATACATCTCTGAAAGGGATGCACTGATCTGATACCAAAACTGAAAAATTCCAAACATGGGTTCAGTCAGTCAGTAGCCTAGTTGGTCATATAAATTGATGTAATAAGACTATCAGTATTTTGAGAGAGGGTGGGTGGAGAGCCCCTGCCTCATTTGGAGGAGTTCAAGTATGTACATGAATGAGGGGAGGATGGATTGACTGGCGGATTGGTGCAGCATCTGCAGTGATGTGGTCACTGTATCAAACCGTTTTGGTGAAGAGGGAGCTGGGCTGAAAGGCGAAGCTCTCGATTTACTGTCAATCCACAATCCTCCCCTCACCTATGGTCATGAGCTCTGGGGAATGACCGAAAGGACAAGATTGCGGATACAAGGGGCCAAAATGAGTTTCCTCTGCAAGGTGGCTTGGCGCTCCCTTAGAGATAGAGTGTGGGGTGCCCCAGTGACCCAGCCCCGGATAAGCGGAAGAAAATGGATGGACTATTTAGTGGTCATAGTCGGGACAAAAGGACTCATAATATTTTTTTATTTACAGACAGTTGTTCTGTAGTTACTAGGGGGACACATAAAAGTTACATAATGCATTTGAATCAGTTTTGTCTTATTTTAGTTTTTGTTTAAAGGATTTGTTTATCAGGTAATAGCAGATACTTTAAGCCATAGTATCAGAATCGGTATTGGAACTGAAAAAGCTGGATTGGGAGAAGTTCATGTATTCATACTCTCAGGTAGAGTTGGTTTGCTGCCCTGAGACAGAGGGAGGAAGCAGGAGAGCTAACCACTCTGCCGCTATGAAGTAATGCTGCTTGGGTCTTTATAAAGTAAAGCATTACAAAATACAAAATATTATAATTGTTTGTCAAAATACTGAGATACTA